GATCCCCTCTCTGCGCTCTGCAGCTTAGAGAACTATTCCCAGTTCCTCTGATGTGGTTTTGCCTGACTGCAGGGGCAAGTCCGACTCCTCTGATCCAGCGAGAGGGTTTCTGCTGGATTGGGAACAGCTGCAGGGGGACAGGCACTGCTGGTCACAGCCCTGGCCTCCTCGGAGCTGAGAAATACAGCTGCAAAAAGGGTAAGGACATCTCCCAGGGGCCTCGGAGGGCTCTGACAACCTCTCCTGTGCCCCACCCAGACCAGAGCCGAGCCCAGACACTGTGAGAAGCTCCCTCGTGCCCCAGGACAGCGAGTGATCCCGGCACCACGCCTGAGCTTTGGCTGTGAGCTGTGCATGGGCAGGGGGCTGGGGGTGCACCAGCTCCCCCTGAGCCACGGCGAGGTGAGTCACGCAGGAACAAGGACTATTCTTAGCCCTGTCCCCCACCTCCATTCTCCCCCCAGTGCTGCTTTTATTGCTCTAGGCTTTCTTTAAAAAAAAGCCTCCTCCTTCCATGCATCCTTTCCCCCTTTTTTCCCTCCAGACACCAGCACTCCCAGCACATATGCTGCTCACCTCCAGCAGCGCTAGCAGCGCAGGCAGAGCAGCAAGGGACACGTCTCACCATGGGTTTGAAGAGGGCAGGGATCCATGCACGGGAGAGAGGTGTTCCCGGGGCGGTCACGCTCACACCCTCCGCTCGAGCTGGCTGCCACAAAACCCTCCAGCACGGACCGATGCCTCTGCCAAAGGAGTCTCACGGCTCCAGGGCAGCAGCTTTTTTCCAGCTATTAACTTTGGCTACAGCTGCTGATAGGAAAGAACTCGATTTTCCGCTCTAGATTTTGCTCCCAAAAGTAGCGTTTTCTGTGCGTGACTTGTACTGCCAGCTCCTGCTTGCTTTCATTGGGGAAATGACCCAAAATGGGCTCCAAACCCAAGGAATAAGCTCCCCAGATTTTCACCTTTTGCAGGAAGCGCTCAGCACTCCAGTGAACGTGGTGCCAACCTGACAGGTGCCATTCTTAGGACCCTGGTTTAAATAATTCCTGAGGCCTCGATAGCCAGGAAACCTTCAAACTAAGCAGTTGTGGCTTCCTTTTACCTGCTGCCTGGCATGGGAGCCTTCCTCTGCAATGGTGACAGCAAATATATTTGTTAATTAAAAAGAAAGACTGGGAAGGAAGGTTCTTGCCAGTAAATTCATTCAGAGCAAAGTGCCAGAGGCCGTCAGAACTGCAATTAAACCATGGCCCTTGGCAGCCTGACGAGCGACCTTGGAGCACTCACACAGTTCCCGTTTCTCTCTCATTCCCCACGGAGCATCCCTCCAGCAGCGAACTCTTACCTTTCCTGTTGGACCTCACGAACGACAGGATCACTGCCTCTTTCTCTCTTCCTTGGAAACCATCAACTGATTTAATTTCCAGGTCTGGGTACCTGTGGCAAAGGTGCTCTCTGAGCATGTCCACCTGAAAAATACGCAATAGGTGTCTTTTAAAGAAAAGCACAAGATGAAAAGGGTTACAATGCACTGTTCTGCTGTGTCCCTTCCTCTCAAACCCACAAGGACGATCGCTTGCACCTCCTGGAGGTCAAGCCCTGACTCCTGAGGCTGGGAGTAGCAAACACCCGACTGACATCCCTTCCCTCTGTGCCCTCGAGCTGCTTACACGAGGAGAAGTTGGCCACAAATGCTGATTGTACAGTTTGTCTCTGCTGACCTCCGCCCTCACCTCTCTGGGGATGTTCTGGGGTCACTCCTGACCATGCCAAGGTTTAGACCCACCTCTGTGCCCCTGCTCCATTTGCATGCACAAAGAGCAGAGATGCCAGGAGGGGGTCAGCTCACCTGGAGGTTGTAGGGGGCCACAACAGCGATGTCCTGCGCCTTCACGCCAGCTTCCACCAAGGCCTGGATGTGCAAACCGGCCAGCTGCACCTCCCCTAGGGCAGAGAGCAGAAGGGGTGGCAATGGGAATGGGCTGCCAGCTTGGATGTGCTGCAGCTCGGAGAAATCTGCCACCACCCCTCGAACAGCAAGGGATGCTACAGCACGTCCTGCCTGCAGCTCAGAGAAATCTGCCACCACCCTGCAAACAGCAAGGGATGCTACGGCACATCCTGCCTGCAGCTCGGAGAAATCTGTTACCCCCTCTTCTGCAGCAAAACACAGGTATAAAAATCCAGAATCTGCAGTGTGCTGCTCCAGGAGGCTGCCTCCCAAGTTGTGGGAGATGTGCATTTCATCTCCTGCTCAAAATTCCAGTTTACCTTAGACAATGTTTTTGGGTCTCCATTT